ATGCCTAGATTTTGAGCCATGAACAAGTAGTGAGATATCGATTTCATGGATAAAAAACTGTTCAGACTGTGCTGAGGTTTTCATCTACTCAGATACCAGTAGTCACAGATCGTATAGCAAAGAGCAGTTCAACTCTCATGTATACTGAAGAATGGTGTGTCGCAGTTTTTATGTGAGGGGAAACACTAAGCTTCTCTCCTACATTTGTAAGTGTACAACTAGGCTGAAGCTGATATTTTAGTCTGAGGAGTAAGAAAGAAAATGCAGCATAGCACTGTATTTCAAATTCATTAATTCCCACAGCCACAGCAGGAGATGGGAATTAACCACAGCAGATGGAGACATAAAGCGTAAGTCCCCTTCACCCCCAACAGGCTCCTGGTATATCCTGCAACAAAGCCTTCAACAGTCATCAAAAAAGGAAGTTCCTGAGTTTGTTGCTTCACCAGGCTGTAAGGTGCAACACAACCTAAACAAAGCCAGGGGCTGCAACTCGGTCTCATATTGGGATTCTCTTTCAGGCTACTTAGGGAAACAAAAAACAAAAAACAAAAAACCAACAAACAACAAACCAAATTTTATTTATCTACTGTTTAGACTGCAGTGACAATCAAAAATTGCAGAAATATGTTCCATCGTAGAAGGGAGCAGAGCCATGTGAAAATGGGGTTTGTATTTACTGTGCTTGTACACCTCCTGAATTCAAAATTCTGCTATGGTAACAGTGTACTGCTGTACACACTGTTACTGAATTAGGGAATGACTGATAATGAAACATGCCAATTTGTCTGAAATTAGTTATGAATAAAACTAAAATAAATGTAACTAAAGCAGTAAATTAAGATCTTCTGTCTTTGTGGCAGAGAACATTGTTTAAGTGACTCTCCATCTGCTGAACTGGTGACTGGGTTCATTCCAATGATTTGCAGATGCTGTAGTAATTGAGCTGTATTATCAGTGGTGGACTTGTCTTGGACAGTGACCTTATTTCAGACAACAGCAGAAATGCAGTAGAAAGCAAACTTGAGAGTGCTATGTGTGACACTCACCTTCATTCTCAGTCTCTCATTTGGAACTGCAGAGAAAATGTTAGCAGCTCCCCTATGCTGGGAAGGGTCATCCAAGAGCCTTCTGAGAATCAGTCATGCTACCAAGAATGAAAATGAAAACCCTTTTTCTTCTTTCATTTGTTGGCCGCTACGTGCAAACTGGGAAAATGACTCAAGATCACAGAGATCATGTGAAAAACAAGTGCTTGGCTCCCTACTACCTTCTACTTTTTGAACTTGCAGCATTTAGAGCTGTACTGCGTAGTTCACAGAGTGCAAGCCAGCTGATAATCGAGTTCAGCTCTTGGTATAAGAATGTGAAATCAAAGTCTGGAAAGTCCAACAAAACCAAAGACTTGTTAATGCCTCCTACTAGATGGGTTTTCTCATACTTCTCTGGAGGTGGTGCTTTTAATTCCTTGTCTGTGGGGTTTGGAGTTGCAACAGTTTGCTTTGCAAACCAACGCCTGCCAGTGATCCTACAAAGTAGTGAGAAAAAAAGGCTGTACAGCCAGAAGTTGGGGCTGGAGGAGCAGCAAAGGAAGAAAGCAGAGCAGAGCCCAGCGAAAGGTGAAGGAATGAGAGCTCCTCTTCCCAAATCAGCAGCTGTCTAGTTGCAGCATGGAACCAAACCACACCCTTGCCATTATCAGAAAACCATGTTCTCAGTTTCATATTTTTATATCTGTGTGTTAAGATCTGTATCTCCATCTTGGAGCTCTTTCTCTTCTTCAAAATGATGTATACACTGAAGTAATATTTAGAAACAACTGGCTGATTGTGTGTGATTTTTGCTCTGGATTGTTGGCCTCTTAACTGACCAGATCACAAACTGATCAAAGAAGTTATGGGATAATACATTTGGATTTTAAGAATGAAAATTAAAGGTCCTTTAAATTTCCTTTTGATCCCAAAGGACCTCGTGTCTTAATATGAGGAGTTTGGATGACTGGTTCAGGTTGAACAGCAAAATCATGGTATGAGAGACTACCAGGGTCCCAGCTCAAACTTTACATGCAGAGGATCCCTTCAGTCTGTGGAAATCCATAACCATGGTAGGAAAGTAGTGAATAGTAGCAATTTTTTAAACGTCGTTCCTCAACTTTTTTGTGTGTGTCTTAATTGAAAAACAAAACAAAAAGCATATAATATTTATTTTGAAATCAAACAACAAACAAAAAGCATATAATATTTATTTTGAAATCAAACAACTTTTTGTTCTCTCCAGTTTCCTTAAAGGTGGCTCTTACAAATGTGTTAGCATAACTCTTTTGTTTCAAAGGGATGGTTTTCACAGGTACAGTGCTGAAATGCTGAAAACAGAAAGCAATATGGCCAAACCACATCAAGCTATTATGTTTTTTTCTGCATTGTGTTGCACAACATGGCTGACCATTAGGTTATTTACACACAAAGAATAAGAGCTTTCTGTATACTCAACCTCCTGAGGCTGAACAGTATGTTCAAAGCTTATACTACTCAGTGCCTGTCCCATTTCAGTCATTATGGATGTGTTTCTGAAGAGAACACTATGTCAATTCACATCTTGGGGTACCAGAAGATCCTTCATGTAAGGACCTTTGTCTCACTCTTTAAATAGAATTGTTGGTACCAAGGGCAGAAAAATGTGAAGATATTGCTTCTGTTAACAAAAAGCATCAGATCCAGCAGTCTATAGATTATTGATAAATACAGACTGTGCTCGAATCAATTTATTGTCACTTTTCCCTAAACCAAAATTGTAGGCCACTAATGAATGGCAAGAATATCCTTCTTTGGACAATGTGCATAAAGTGAGGCCTAGTTACATGAAAAAGAGAAATCCTTGAGTCTATATTTGAAAATATGACAGGCTATATCTGTACCTACATACACGTGGATAAATACTAAACTTTAACTATGCTGATGGCATCAATCTGTGTGATTAGAGAGAAAAGATAAGGATAAACCTTTAATAAAGACCAAGTAACATACAGATATTTTATTAAGAAATGAGCTAAGGACTGAAGTCATCAGCAATATGTTTTTAAATGTGTAAATACTGTGCAGCAATGCTAAAGCACATCAATCCTTGTAATGCCTCTTTGGATGCCAGGGGCTTACACTCATTTTCAGTGCTACCTCAACTATAGAGTTTCACAGAATCACAGAATGGCCAGGGTTGGAAGGAACCTCAAGGATCATGAACCTCCAATTCCCCTGCCACATGCAAGGCCACCAACATCCTCATTTAATACTAGACCAGGCTGCCCAGGGCCCCATCCAATCTGGCCTTGAACACCTCCAGGGATGGGGCATCCACAGCCTCTCTGGGCAGCTGTTCCAGTACCTCACCACTCTCTCTGTAAGAATTTCCCCCTGACATCCAACCTAAATCTCCCCTCCCTCAACTTAAAACCATTTCCCCTCGTCCTGCAGTTATCAACCCTTTCAAAGAGTTGATTCCCCTCCTGTTTGTAGGCTCCCTTTAGGTACTGAAAGGCTGCAATGAGGAGGTCACCCCGCAGCCTTCTTTTCTCCAGGCTGAACAAGCCCAGCTCCTTCAGCCTGTCTTCATAGGGGAGGTGCTCCAGTCCCCTGATCATCTTTGTGGCCCTCCTCTGGACCCTCTCCAACAGCTCCCTGTCTTTCTTGTACTGGGGGCTCCACACTTGGACGCAGTACTCCAGATGGGGCCTCACAAGAGCAGAATAGAGGGGAACAATCACCTCCCTGTCCCTGCTGGCCACCCCTCTTTTGATGGAGCCCAGGATACCATTTGCCTTCTGAGACACAAGGGCACGTTGTTGGCTCATATTAAGTTTTTCATCTATCAAGACCCCCAGGTCCTTCTCCACAGGGCTGCTCTCAAGGACCGCTCCTTCCAGCCTGTAGGGATGCCTGGGATTCCTCCGGCCCAAGTGCAGAACTCTGCACTTTGCTGTGTTGAACCTCATCAGGTTCACCCGGGCCCACCTTTCTAGCCTCTCGAGGCCCTCTGAATGGCATCCCTTCCTTTGTTTTATTTGTATTATTTAACTGTTTAGGTATTCATTATTTCCTCCCCCCCAAATGATCCCAAATAGCAATTCTGCACATGATAGGGCACGTAGACAGGGGTTCTCTTGCCAGATGAGGGATTTTACTGCCATCTGCTGAGGAAAAAAGAAATCAGAACACAAATGCCCCATTGCCACATCAGTGGCCATCTGCAGAGTGCTGCCAGCCAGCCCGGATTCCCATGGCAATGTGGAGTACATAAATCCTCAGGTTTTTTCCTTGAACTTTGCCTGAAACAAAAATGGAAGAAAAACAAGAAGTCCCAGCGGTTTGTTGCAGACTTTATGCATCCAGGCTGGGTGTGTTCAGCTATAGAAAGGATGCTAACACTTCCCAGGGTAATGCTTTCATTTTGTGACCAGAATAACACCCAAGTTTCTGCTGCATGGTAGCTCTACATATATTCGCTGCATCATTCAGTGGTTAAAGCATTGGGATCACACTGACAGGCTCCTCAGGGTCTGGCACCGAGCTCACCAGAGTTTAGGAAGAGTCTGGATGACGCTCTCAGACATACGGACTGATTTTTAGGTAGTTCTGTGCAGAGCCAGCAGCTGCACTCGATGAATCCCTTCCAACTCGGGATGTTCTGTTTCTATGAAAGCAGTCCTGGCTTTCCAGTTGGAATACTACACACTAAACACGCAGAAGTAAGTCTCGCAGGGGGTCTGACGCCTACAAAAGCCAGGCGGGCTGCTCCCATCTCCGCCTCCGCCTGATGACCCGTGCTGGGACCCCGGCTGAGATCCGGGCTGAAACCTCCGCCGCGCCACTCCCAGCCGCAAGGGGGCGCCATTCCCCAACGCCCCCGCTGCGATGCGATCCCCGCGCCGCACCGCCTTCCGAATGAGCCCTGGCTGTGAGTGGAGCAAGCTCCTGACTGGCGTTGGGGAGAGCCAATCAGTGCCTGTCACCCTGTTTGAGCTGCGAGCCAATGGGAGAGAGGAGGAAGAAGAGCTGCTCGCCGGAAGTGAGGTGTTGGCGTTTGCAGCGGAGCGCGGCGGGCAGGCAGGTGAGGGGGTGCTTTCTGTGGGCCCTGTGTGCGGGGCCGGCTCCTTGGCCAGCCGCCGCTGGGCTTCTGCCGAGCGCGGCCTCCGCCTTTGTTTCTCTTTAGCAGTGGCCTGGCGAGCCCCGCCGTGCGGCTTTTGGGCCTTCCCGGAGCCCGGCCGTAGCGGTGGGCCGGGCCTTTCTTCTTGCGCCTCTTCGCTGGCAGGTCTGGTTTGGAAGCACTGTGTATTTCAGTAGAAAGCTAACGTGGATTTATTGGAGAGTTTCCTGTTTTATGCACGCTGAAGTATCTCCTGTTTAGTGTGTTTTCTCACAGCTAACTGTACGCTACTTTCTACGTGCTACAGTTGTCACATAAGTTATTTAATGTACGTTTCTTTGGTATTTGCTAGGTGTTTTCATCTGCAAAAATGGGTGAACCTCAGCAAGTGAGTGCCCTTCCTCCACCTCCAATGCAATATATAAAAGAATATACTGATGAAAACATACGTAAAGGGCTGGCACCGAAGCCCCCTCCACCTGTGAAAGACAGCTACATGATGTTTGGTAATCAGTTCCAGTGTGATGACTTAATTATCCGACCCTTGGAAAGCCAGGGTATTGAACGGCTGCATCCTATGCAGTTTGATCACAAAAAGGAATTAAGGAAACTTAACATGTCTATCTTGGTCAACTTTTTGGATCTCTTGGATATCTTGATAAGGAGTCCAGGGAGTATAAAGCGAGAAGAGAAACTGGAGGACCTGAAACTGCTTTTTGTTCATGTGCATCATCTTATAAATGAGTACCGTCCCCACCAAGCCAGGGAGACCCTGCGAGTCATGATGGAAGTGCAGAAACGTCAGCGTCTGGAAACTGCAGAGCGATTTCAGAAGCATTTAGAAAGAGTTGTGGAGATGATTCAGAACTGCCTGGCATCCTTGCCTGATGATCTTCCTCATTCAGAGGGAGGACTGGGAGTGAAAACAGAACCAATGGACACTGATGATGGCAACAATTGCATTGGACAGAGTGAGAAACAGAGAGAACGTTCTGGCTGCAAGAGAGATCAGGTTTTAGATAAAGATGCAGCTATGTGTAGCATTATTGATGAAATGACATGAGGGAAGCATTTATTATGTTAGCTTACAATAGAGAGGCCAAATGGCTTATGAGGGTATATACTATATTTTGTTTTTCTGTTGTACCAGCAATTGAAACATTCACACCTACTAGGGGTGGGTGTGAGCTTCTAAGCAGCTGAGGATATTTAATATTTTGTATGGGCTGTATATTTATTGGTAAAAACAAAAACGTATGCTTTGTCCTGTGTGGATGCTGTTAAAGTTAGCTTTTTGGTAGAACATTATTTTGTCACTTGCAGCTTTCTGGGACACGCATCATCTTGTAAATGCCTTATCCTGTAGAAGCAGGGGATCTAGCTGACTGAAATTGAAGCTGACAGTTCCTGCATTTCAAATAAATGTTAGTTGTTTACATTTGAAAAGAGTCTTTTCAGTTACGTTATATTAAAAAATAAATCAATATTAAGTCTGAGAAATCCATTCCTTTCTAACTTTGTAGTAATGTAACAGTGTTGAAGAGATCTTAAGAATTGTTTTATTATATATGTATTCTGGTGTAACTTGTCTTGTTTAGATCTGTGAAGTTGGGGGTCTCTACAGCTAAGTTGATTAAATGGATAATTAGCTTTTATACTAACTGAGAACTTCCAAGTTAGAAAGACTCCTGAAGGCTGTAAAATGGAAGCTAAATCAGTCATGTTTAAAGAGAACTGCAGTTGGATCAAGCTTATGGCAAGAGGAAAAGAGTGATTTGATAATGAAGAAGACTCCTGTCTACAGCATGTATTTTTTCCAACTAGATACAGCACCTTAGAAATAAATAATAAAAAAAAAAGGTCAACTTTGTGGATGAGGAAACTTACTGAAACTATTTTTAACACTCATTATGCAAACTATATATTAGATCATTCAGCTGTTTTCAGGCATTCAGATTTATTTAAATGAGCAGGTAGATCCTACCTGTTGGGTGGCGGGATTGAGATCACTGTAGCTAAAGTTGAACTGAAGCAAATGGGTGACTCACAGCAGGAACTCATCTGCTATTTCAAGTACGTGTGATGTAAGTATTAGTAAAGAACATGTTTTTCAGAAATGTTTATAAATAACTTTGTGAAGTTAAAACTTTTGACCTCTGTGCAACTCCCACTTTTTTCTTCTCCCTGAACTATCTAAACAGTTGTTTTGCAGTAACTAAAACAACTGTGGGTCAACTGAATTAATTGGATGTCTGTTTTGCAAATGTTCCTCAAGTCGAAGATAGGAAGAAACAGTTTTAGTGTGTTGTGGATAAGAGATCGTGAGCTGGGGAGTTACTTTGCTACAGATGTTCTAACTGCCATTCAAGTGCTATAGATGCCCTAGGTCTTTTTTTGGTTGATTTTTTTTTTCTTTCATTTTTTATGTTTTTAATAAAGTTGAAGGCCCAGGTGCTGTACTTTCAACTTCAGGCTGGATTCTAGCAGTAACTAATAATTGTAATTAACTTCTTTTGGTGAACACATTGAAGTAATTGGGGATCGAGTCATTTAAAATCTTAAGACTGCTTTCACTTTCTAAGAAGTTTCAGAAATAATTTTCTCTCTATTCTTTGGGGTTTGTCTTAGAAGCAAACCGTGAGATAAGTACCTGCAGGAGATTGTGGTACTTTCTGAGCTTTTCTTCAGCCAAAATGGTAACTCTTTTTTGTCACATCAATACAACGATGGTTCTCTTTTCTCCTATTAAAACCTTGCTTTTGATTACAAAAACCCAGCCACTCAGCTGTAGCTGCAGTGAAGGCAGTGGATGATGTATGCCATGCAGGGGAGCTGCATTTCAGATTGTGTAGAATATGACTCACTGACTTAAAAGTGAGGCTATGAATGTTGGCTAATTAGAAGAGACTACTCGTGATGATGAGGTCTTTCTTAACCTCAAAAAAAGAAAAATTCTGATGTTGCTTTTGGATGTGATGATGATACTTGAAGTATTGTACTCCTGTGAAATGTTAATGTATGAAATATATTGGATTATATATGCCTTACAAAACTCAGTAGGATAAAGTTAATGTTAGATGTCAAGAAGACTGAACAAAATGCTGCTTTAAAACAACAACGAGCAGGTTCCGTTGTTACATCAAGTAAGCTCGGGGATAAGTTGTTTGAAACAGGGAAGGCAAGTGTGTTGTCTGTGGGCAAAAAGGGGAAGTTTTGATCATTCAGAGGGAGGAAAAACAAAGTTATACACTGTTGTTGCAGGGCAGTCCAGGGATACTGCTGTTAATGGTCAGAACAACATCTGTAAAAGCTGCCTACAGCGTCCTGTCTCCCCAGAAACAGGAGTAGCAGAGAGGAAGTGTGTTCTTGTCCAGTCCTAAATCTGCACACAGAGGCTGCCCTTTCTCCCTCTTCCATCCTTTTCCAGCCGATATGTTGCTGGTGTAGCTCTGCCACTTGGCTGCATTTATTTATTAGTTGTAAAAAGTCATTCCTTACAACTTAATTTGTCTGTATAAAAGACAGATTATCTGTTTCAGCAGAGAACATGAATTTGCTATGGATCACATTGGATCACATTTGATCACAGCTGCAGTTCTAGTCTGAGTGATATTAAGACTCCATGTCCTCACTCAGGGCAACCCAGGGTGGCCAGGAACACCATTTTTTAAGTAACATATTTCTCCTAATGACTGCTATTGCCACCCAGCTTTTCAAATGGCTTCTGTGCTGTGCGTTACTCGGTATGGTAAAAGCTCAGAGGCGTGCAGAACTTTTAAGAGCTGAGTGATGAGAGGCTGCAGCTCTGTTTAGGCTACACTTGTGAAGTGGTAGGGAAGCTTCCAGTATTCCTGCCTGTAAAGGATATCACATTTGCTTAAAGTAGCAATGTTCGAAGCAGAATTTAGGATTAAATGCTGGTTTAATAATACCTAAGTTCCTCTTATGTTGCTGAATGCTTTCTGTTTATCAGTCTGCTACACATCTTATGTAATCTCTTCCCCCTAATTCTATGCACTATGGCAAGAAGAGGGTGTGGGAACCCAGCTTGGGGCAATAGATTATTGGTGGTGACTCGGCTTGGTGGTACTAACAGTTTAACCTGCTATAATCAAGCAGATCTGGGGAAAAAAAGAGAAGTAGATTTCTGAAGTAGTGCTGAGTATTTTAACCTTTTAGTCAAACCACAGTCAGCAAGCATTCAGCTGCATGCGTTCTGAGCAGCAGCAGCTTCAGTGACTAACAGACTAACCACAGGAAAGGCAATCCTGATCAAACCAAAGGGCATCATCCTGTTTGAAGCTGACGTGCTAGTACTGAGAAGTAAAACCAGCAGTTTATGAAAACGATAGTTTATTTTGAATGTAGGTTCACAAAGAGTGAATAAGAGTGTTCCTCATCCTCGGCCACAATGTCTTCTCATTTCTTCCTGGACTGGATCCTTCTGATCTGGCTTACAGGTAACTCAATGGGTGTGAAAAACAGCTGGAAGTGGATGGAAGGGAGGTAACATGCATCGGTGCTTCTGGGGGTTGCAGAGAGATTTTGCATTATGATGGTAAGAGTGGTTGCATTGCACAGAAACTGCTGTTTTGCATATTCAGTAAAACTTTATCAGAGTATTCTGATGATCGTCTCTCCCTTTTAAAACAGAGCTATTAATACAGGCAGATGGACATTAAACATTTGGTAGGATATCTTCAACAGACAAAAAAGAGATTACAGATATTTTTCTCCTATTTTTTTTTTTTTCTAAAGCCTTTTATGATGAGATTCATTTAGAGTTTCCTTTTTGTATTAAATAAAATGCACTATTGTCAGAGATTAGTTCCTAGTATGCTATTGTGGCAAAATCTTTGCGTAAGACTTATTTATAATTATTATAGCGTAGTTTAGGAGAAAAATGGCTGAGATGAAATTGGGCAGGACTGCCTTTTCCCAAGGAACAATGGCAATGAAGTCATATGCCCTTGCCAGTGATATCCAGGGACTTTGATTAGAGATGATTAGTTGCTAGACTGTTTCCTACTTCCATCCTTGCCACAGTGAATTCTATCCCTGAAATGTTAATGTGGGTAGATCAACATCTTTTCACTTTTGATCCGGTGCTGTGGGAACTGAATGAGATGGAAGCTTGGGAAGAATGAGGGGGGATTTTAAGCTAGGGAAAAAAGGAAGATATAGAAGTTTTTAGGAAAGCTCTGGAAAATCTCTTCTGATAGGCACTGCCCAAATCCTTTCCTAGTGAAAGAAAAAAGGAAATGCACAGCTATAATGCTAATGAAAACTGCCTTTCAGTGGCTTTTTACTGAAAGTGAGGAAGGGTTTCCCACTATAGTTTTAATGAAAAAATGATGCCTTTCTGTTCTCCCATGCCTGGTTTGGATTAAATCTAAGCTAAGGGAAAAACAAAGACCTATTGACCTGGATGTGGCTGAAGAGAAGCCACAGAGCTGTGCAGGTCCAAACTCCATTCTCTCTTCATCTTTTTGCCTGCTACGCACGACCTTTTAATGTTTGTGTTTCTGTCCACAGGCCCTACAGTGTCAGGACTGCTGGTGAAGGGAGAGGTTGGCCAGAATATCACTGTGCCCTGCTTTTACACAGTTAAGACAGAACATGACATCACCTCAATGTGCTGGGGCCGTGATGCCTGTCCCCCTTCCAAATGTTCTTACCCCATTATCTGGACAGATGGGAGGAAGGTGACAGAGGGGTACCATGCAAAGTATGCCCTGAAAGGGGACTTGCTGAAGGGCAACGTGTCCCTCACCATCCTGAATGCCCAGGAAACAGACAGTGGGACGTATTGCTGCCGTGTGGAGATCCCGGGGTGGTTCAACGATAAGACAACCAACCTCCAGGTGGTGGTTGAGAGAGGTGAGTGCTGTTACAGTGACTCTTCTGCTCAGTCTGGAGTTTGAAGCTTGTGGAGGAAGTGATTTCTGTCATCATCATCCATAGAATCAGTCTTTAGCATCTGGCAAACCTGCCGTTAGTTGGGTTAAAGCTAATCTGCCTTTGAGAATGTTGTAATCACTGCAGTAATAACAATAAAAATGAGAACAACGAAGGCAGTGGTGCTTTGTTTAATGGTATGCAGTGCTACTGAGTTTCCTTGGAAGCACTATTTATAGAAATGAAGAATGAGGGCACTGTATGGTATCAGAAGTGCCGTATATGCAGCTTTATCACAAAGACAGTGCTTCATCTTCTGCTGCTGCATTTCAGGGTAAAACCCAGGGATACACACAAATAGCATGGGCAGTTTTTCTTTAAGGAAACTTTTCTTTTGATTTCAGTTCATCTCTACTTGTAAAAAAAACCCATGATAATATAGGGAACAATTGTCTCACAGGTGTGTGTCTGGTTTGAGCACACTTTTATAGAAAGATTTTCTTTTTTTTCACTACATGAATGGACATTAATTATAATGCATGTTGTTTGTTTCTCTAACACCAGCTAGGGTCTCTACTGCAAGCCCTCTCACTCACACCTCTCCACCGACCTCAGGTAACTTTTTTCCAAGTATTAATGGCAATAGCATATATTAGCTGCATTGAAACTGGACATCTTAAAAAAGAAACAAAATGACAGGTGATAGAAGTATCTTGGCTAAAATTTACTGAACATACCATAGGACCTGAAATCTGAACTTGGCCTGTAAATTCTACCTCACACTGTATAGAAGGCTTAGCAGAAGGAACGTGTATGTTGCTCCCAGGTGTTGGGATTAACTAGATGCTTCATTGGTGCTACAAGTGTTGTTTTCCTTGTGGCTGTTTCAGGATGTGTTTTCTCTGTGGTATTAAGTCTCACCTTGTCATCCGAAAGTGCATCCCGTGAACAATAAAATGCAAGGTTGTAGGATCTGTGTGTGTGCTCACTCTTTAATCAAAGCACTTGTTGCTTAAGGTAATGTAACAAACAACCGTTGGTTGGGCTCAAATGTATATCTGGTTCAGGATCCCATCTCCATTAGCTGTCAACTGCAGAAAATTGAGGAGGAATATAGAAACAGCAGAAATGTTATGATACAACAGACTGTATTGTATGTATTCTTTTACCCTGCTGTTACCTGTGTCTCAGAGGTTGCCCGCATCCCCTGGAGTATATGCATAGTCTCAAGTGAGGCTCATTGTGTTGGAATATCCATTCTTTACTCAGCTTTGTTCTGCTATGTGTGTCTATAGACATCTGTCATACACCCACTCTGCTTCTTTTTTTTTAATCAGAAAAAGACAACATTAATATCCAGTACACACAGCAGAGTTCGTAGTTAATGACAGCTTAATGGCAGGATTTTGAAACAAAAATCAGGGATGCTATTTGTATCTATCCCTCAATCTCAAATGTTACCAGTTGAGCAACACTAAAATGTTACAACACTTGCATTTCCTTCTTAGAAGAAGAAGTGAGAATGTTCTCAAACCATTTCTATTCTTGTTGCAAATGATATGGCTTCCAATCTCAGCTCTCATGGGTTTTCTTAACCATGTGACATCCTCCTTAGCTGCTGGGGAGCAATTTTTTGTGCTTTGAGAATACGAGTTAATTTCTGCATGGGGACACTTGAAAAGATGGGTGGCTGTGTTCCTCTGATGTAGGGATGTTCCAGCATCTGCCTTGAAAAAGAGGACAGTGAAGCAGATGATCCTCACTCTTCAAAATGCAGCTTATGGCAGAGGGTTAACCATTTATAACAGGAAAGGAGCCACCTGGGATTGTCATAATGTGAATAGAAGATTTTGTTTTCAGGAGGGTTTTGTATCATCTGACAGCACACAGAGAAACTATGACGGATGATGCGGATAACATAGCAGTTTGTAGCTCTATTTTAAATATTGGAAACTGCTCTGGGAAATTACCTCAAAATCCGCTGCATGCCCTATGCAAATGTATCACACAGTCGGCTGTTTATTGTATAGCTGTGATCTGGGACTTCAAAAGTGCCGCTTGCTGTCTGCAACTCTACACCAATTCATCTTCCAAGGCCCTGAGCTGGTGTTTATCAATTTTCATCAAATAATCTAGTTTTACATCCACTGCCTCCTCTGATCTAAGATATGGATCCAGAGCCCAACTTGGTAACTCCATCTTTCTAGGCTCTGTGTTGGGATAATAGCAGGTGTTTCCTGGAAGGATTTCAAAGCTCTGAAAAGGGCACTGGAGGAATTTTGCAATGCCTTTGGATGGCACAACATCGTTATAATATATACAGCAAAGACTCCAGACAGAGGTACTTAGGTTCAATGTTCTCAGGTCAGTAGCATACATTTTTTGTCCAAGCAGAATGTTTTTCTGTGCAAGTGATATCTTGGTTTGTCATGCTTTTGCTCAGCTCCTGGGAGTGCCAGTGAAGCGTCCTTTACTGTCAGAACGTGGCCACCAGCTTCTGAAACAGAAACTCCTGAGACTGTAAGCATCGCTGTTGTGCTATACTGAGATGATGTGCTTAGACATCGGAAGTTACTGGGTCATTCCTGCAGTTAAATTACAGCATTTTGTTTTGATTGCGAGATAACAGATATTTTTTTCCAGTCTGCACATTTAATGCTTACAAAAGAGTGCTTATGGGGTCATTATGAAAGGGAGAAAACAAAGTGCTTTGCTTGCAAAAACTGTTTCCTTCCTACTAAAGAGGGAAGACCTTTAGCAACATCTGTATTGCCTTTCAGGCCTCTGGTTCCTACTCAAGCACCTCAGACTACCCAGAAGTAACCTCAAGCCTGCAGGTACCGGCAGGACATGGGGAAGGGTCAAAAATGGACCACATGACAGCACAGGGATCTACTTGCCATGCGTGTGTATGGGGTTCAAGCTCACAGCCCTATCTGCCCTGCTGAGTCCTCCAGCTCATGCTGTGTGTTAACGGGCAGTAGCATCATCTTAATTTTTGTCAGGAAGACAAAACAGCCAAGCTACCATTTGGGAAGCCCTGATGTTATTGTACTGCAAGGTAGTATGTATGTGGGCATTCATATTGCTGCACGTGCAGAAAGTCAGGGACTGTACTGCCTTTCAGCATCTTCCCAGCTCTTAGGGAGTGGTTGGATATCTATTGGCTGGCTTCCAGAAGTTGTGCTGAAAGGTGAAGGCATATTCACATCCTGGGATGAAGCTCCAAATAACTACTGAGTAAGCTGACAAAAAGGGAGGCAGAAGGAAAACAGCAGGAGATATTTAATCTTATGATTAAATAAAGATATTCACCAAACAGTATTAAATGTTAAGCTTCTTCCTTGGGCTGAAAGGAACCAGGAACAAATGGGACTGGTCATAACTTAAGGTTCTTTGACAGTGTTAAGAAATAAAACATTTAACAGCAGGGTTCACACAAGTGTTGTGAATTCTTGAAACTAGTATCTCAAGTTGGGCTCTTGCCCTCAAGTGCATTTTAATTGCAGGTTTACAAAATGCACAGATGTCCTGCATGGGATTTATGCTTTGAGTTCCACTGACACTAATTTGTTTTGTGTTTGACAGAATTCGTCCATATCAACTCATAGTCAGCAGTATTCAGAAAAGAATGTTTACCTCAGAACTGGATTGTGTGTAGGATTTCTGCTCATCCTTGTTTTGGGTCTGTTCCTGGGTAGACGTAAGTAACTTCTCAGAGGTGGTTATTCAAGTGTGAGTTGGGTACATCACATCACAGCTGTGACTTTGCCACATGTCTCCTGTGCCATGACAGTGAGCTTATGTCCACCTTACCTGGGGCTGGTGAGGAGACGTGGTACAAACCCACATCCCCTGCGCTGCTCCTTTCCTCGTGGGCACTGCCCCTGTAGTCCCTGACTTTCCCAATGATAAGGAAGGAGGCCCTGGTTTCATGTCACTATACCCAATGTTTTTCATGTTGCAGACTTTCTCCTTAAATGCTGTTGGTCAGACGAAACCACGTGAATTTAACTTCATGGAACTTATGGGGATTTTCTATACTGCAAACCTCTGCTTAAAGTTCCCTAATTTTGTTTCCTGCACCTTTTTTTTTTTTTTTTTTTTTTGGCTAAACCTGTAACTTTACTTACTTAGGATGATTTAAAGAACAATGTTTATTATTTTTCTTTATTTTCATTCTGGATCATCCTTAGGATATTTACGCAATATGAAGAAACTGAGTAAGTTTGCAAGGTAAGTATTCTATTTCTGCTTCAGCTAATAGGACAAAATAGTCCCAGAAGGAGTTGCTGTGATTCCTGCTAGATGCATGCTGACTGTACATACTCTAATTTGATTTTTTTAAATCTCAAATTAATAAGAAACACTGCAAAAGAAATTAATAAATCCTGCTACTCATCCTTAGTTAATAAACAAAAAATGAGTCTAACTGCCAATTCAGTGCATTAGGGAGTAGGCAAACTTCAAGTGTGGGTTGTCTCATAAATGGAAAAATGATTCATTATCAGTTGTGTTTAAATAAGTGTTTTTGCATATTTTACAATTTTTCCAGTGAGCTGGTTCATTTAACTGTCTGCTCTTTTGTGTTTCTATTGTCTGTTGTTTAACAGCCTTGTTTTTACTCATGTGTGCAGCTCTGTTGCATTTTGGAGACAAGAACGTGCTGGGAACCAAAGTGCCCTGGAAGTTGAGATCCACGCAGAGGAAAACATTTACACAATACACTAAAGACTGTATGCATGCTTTCCTTTGTCATCTCTGGGACTTTAAATATTTTCCAAAATCTTAGCTGCTCCCTCTGCTCTGCAGCTAAGTGTGCCTGGACTGCTAAAGCATCACTCATATCATTCTAATAAAGCAAATAAAAGCTACAATTCTAATTAAAAACTTTTATCAGCTTGTTCCAGAAACAGAAACCCTGCTGGCTTGAATGGAAATTTCCAGATTCCATTTATCTAACCATAAGGAAAGTTACCACAGACAAGGGGGAACAGTTTTAAACTAAAAGAGGGGAGATTTAGGTGAGATGTTAGGAAGAAATTATCTACTCAGAGAGGGGTGAGGCCATCACACCCAGAGCTGTGAGTGCCCCATCCCTGGAGATGCTCAGAGCCAGGTGGGATAGGGCCCTGGGCAGCCTGAGCTGGTGAGGGGGATGGGACTGGGTGGACTTTAAAGTCCCCCTCCAACCTAAGCCATTCAATGATACAGTCTGCTTCAGATTCTCTCTTACTTTCAGAAAAAGGGAAGTGGCAGGATGACTATTCAATCACAAAAGGAAAACCACCCACAATCTTAAAATTTGTCTCTGTTGTGTATTATATCTACTAGCTAAAAAAACCCAGTCATCTGAGGGGGGGAGCAACCTCATAGCTGCTTTGGCACAGATAACAGATGGAAAACCTTGGTAGTAATCATATGTCAAAATATCTTTCATTAATTTTTTCTTGAAGCTGGGCATGCCCATTCTGGATAACAGCTCAGTTGTGCAGTGTGCGAATTCCTGCCCACCCATGGTTAAAGCTGGAGGGGCTGCTGGTGCTCACCCCCTCATGGGGGTATTGTTGGAGCTTATGGAATACTCACACCTTGCTTTCAGAGAAGTGTGACTAAGTGCATTTTCCTCTGCAAAATGCGTCACTTTCTCATTGGTTTTCTCATTGGGCCCTTGTATGCCCTGAGATGTCCTCACGGTGGAAAATTTCCTTTCCAGGTCTCTAAAGCAACCAGGTAAACAGAACTACTCTGTAGTTTTCTGCTCTTTCAGGCGGGAGAGCGACCAGCTCTCACCAAGTATTACTGGGTGCAAATCACACCCTGCAGCTCAGCCCACGCAGCAGTGTGCAATACCTAAAGCACACACTGCTGCCATAAAGGACAGCAGACTTAGAGCTAATGTTGTCGTTAAGATTATTTTCAAAGGAGCCGTGCACAGAACAAAGCTACGTCAACCATTGGGGCATAAAGGAACAATAATAGAGTCAGTAGGTGTTATGTTAACAGCTGAGACACTTTGTCATGGTCTGGTTGTGCTGTTATGGGGAGCTGAGGTCAGTGGAGCAGTTACACCTCCTGTCCTCAATTGGCAACCAGCTCTGCCATTTGCTTTCTTCATGTCATCTGCTGCCTTGCATAAGAAGATACTGAGACTAGAATGGTTCTGTTAGTTTAAGATTGTATTGATTTGTTTGACTATTAGCAATAATTACTAAACTAGCATCAGTGGCCCCTCTGTAGACATTGCTTTCTGTCTGGTTGGCTGACAGGTCACTGGGCTGACAGGCCCATAGCCAGAGCTGGAGGAAGTCTGACCTGATCTCTGAACCAGAGCTCAGAAAACATCTTCAGCAATTTCTGCTTCCTGCAGCTTTTGTCAAATGAATAATATTTACAGGGATTCAGACAAGAAGTGAGGGGTTTCCAAAACCATCTGATTCCAACCATTTGTGCTTTTAGGGAGTCTGAGGGCTGCTGATGATGAGAGGTGCTTGCCCATTAGGGCTTTTTTCCTTGGTATTACAAATTCAGACTAATTTTTGTATCAGAGAGTTTTCATGCAACATAATGTCCGCTCATGTCAGTGCATCTTAGAATAGGTATTTGAAAACAATCCCCAGAGTTGCACAGGTGGCATTTGAGCCTATTCACCCATTAAGAGGTTTTCCAGCTGCACACAGCTGGCAGCTTACTGAGCTAACAAGCTGCAGAGCACTCTGCCTTTCCTTTTCTGCCTGCAAGAAGCCACTAGATAGCAGTATAGATACAGAAAGCAAGGCACGTTTTTTTGGTTCTTCCCAGCATACTTGAACCTGATAGATTCTGGAAGGCCTTTTTCAATGCCCAGTCTTGGTAAGGAAGCAAAGCTGAATGATGCCATGCTTCTCTCTTCCTTCCCTAGTTGTTTAGAACAGGCTGGCTAATCCTGATTTGAGAAACTTCATTGAAATTGGTAGCTGGCTAAAGAGCCAAATTCATGTTCCAGGTGGGATTCAGCTGCTCCTTGCATTGGCATTAGCTGAGCATTGGCTCATGGTCACTGTGTGATGGTGAGTGATAGGAGAGGAAGGAGGAACTAGGACCTGCTGTAGAGGAAAAGTATCTGGGATACTGGACACGTTAGGTTTCATCAGATGTTCACAGAACAGCTGGAGCTGCTCGTACTTGGCACTGTATGAATTGTATCTGGTAGAATACTGTCAGTTAGGTATTTTACTGATGGCTGGCTGAAGTGTCTTTTAATATTGACAATAGGATACTATTGTTGTGTCTATTTCTACTGTTGCTGTTATGCTACACTGAAGCACCCCTTCAGAATAAAATCAGAAGAGTTCTTTGAGCTTCATGCTCCTTGAATCTGCTGCTGAGCTGTCTATTGCAGCATTGGATGGCCAGCTGCTGGTGAAAGAAGCAAGGCATTCTGGCTTAGCTGCAATCTAGTCTACTGGGGATCTACTTCTTGCCATGAATAACATGGTGGTGTGATGGATGAGGACGTGAACAGGTCTGCAAACATAGGAATCATTCTCTGATGCTATGTGGGAGTGGGGATGGTATTGAAAAGTTAACCCCTCTCCAACCTTCCTGTGCCACTCAAGATTCTGTAGACATGTATCTCTTCTCCAGGCTGACTTGATGTGGACCATTCACTTATCCCAACTGTGGAAGCTCTTCCATTTTTTCACCATTCCTTTTGGCCTTCCTCAAACTATTTTTGGTTCTAACATATGCTTTTGTTTAAGTAGAGGGAATTAGAACTACTGATGGGATTCAAAGTAAAACTTGTGTAGAGGTGTAAAGATGTCTTCTGATTTGTTCTCTTTTCAAGGAATAGATAGTCTATTAATAGTGAATATGGAATTTAATAATAATTGCTAAAATATGCCTTCCCCCTCCACCCCCAGTATTACCAAGCATAGAAGTAATATTTTCATGGCACTGTGCCTGATAAGGCCTAAATCCCATACTGAGGAGGTAGAGTCTGTTCAAAGCCCATCATTTTATTATTTGAGCTTAGAATTGTTTTCTCCATTTGCACTGCATTACATTTATTTGCACAGAATTTTGTCTATCTACAATTTGTATTTGCAATGAGAAAACAAGAAAAGTCAAAGCTCAGCCTCAGCTGACACTGACCAACGTGGTGTCAGTCAATAAAAAAGGCTTTTTAAAGTAGGTCAGTGGCAAGAGGAAGTCTAAGGAAAACGCTGGACTGGTAGTTGATGCAGATGATATCCTAACAAGTAAGGATGAGGAAAATAAGAAGCAGAAAAAAGACATAGAGGGGTCTTGGAGCAGAAAGCAGAATCAATGGCAAAGAAGGGATTAGGAAGTCTTAAGACACAGGTGAAGAGTAAGCCAAATGTTTAAGACTGTAAGACCACAGGGTTTTTTCTTGCTGCTCCGTACCACGTAACAGTAATCAATCTTAAGAATTCACAGAAAGGAGAAAAAAAAAAACCACAACAATTTTGAACTGTGATGGTAATACCAGGCTCTGTGTCTTGGAAAGGAGAGGGGAAGAAGGTACCTATCTGGAAAACAGAAGCAATTGCGGTATGTAAAATCTGGAAATGGAGAAATGAAACTTCAGTTGGGCTCACTCAGCATCTTTAATGGTAGCTATAAGGTCTGGTTTTCTCTCCTTCCACTCACTGACCTTGGGTCGCCGTCAGTCAAAATGTCCCATTTTGTGTTGTTTCGCTGGATTGTGATACAGACCTTTATAGGTGAGTCTTCGCTTGCTTTGGGATTGCTCAGGAAACAAAAACTTTAATGGCAGCACTTGTTCTACTTATGTATGCCTGCATCACAAGGAAAAAGGATATAATTGTATACAGAACTTCAAAAAATATTTTTAACTTATAGAGTTAACTTACAGAGTTAGAGTTAGCATCTCAAGATGTTATTATTTAAATTTTAAAAATGTATGTAGTTGCTTCTATCTATACGCTTTGTTAGTTTGCTCTGTCCCCCAAATTATCTATTTACTGCTGCTAAATATGTATTGCCAGCTTTGCTTCTCTATCTGCATCTCCACTATGACCCAAGGCAGATACAACCCAAGCCAGGGAATTGAAATATTGATTGCATAATGAACATATATACATGATAAAGAAAATGTTTTCCTAAACTCTGAGGACTGTCTGCTGCTTTGAACATTGACATGGGAATCATAGAATCATTAAGGTTGGAAAAGATCACTAAGATCATCTAGTGCAACCATGAAGAAAAGCACGGCTGGAGATTACTCTCCTTCTAAATGCAAATGTTGAGAGTTTGCCCATCTAAAATCTGGATCCTCAAAGAAATAGCAGTAATTTCTGCATGCACATTTAAGCATCAATGATGCAGTTTCCAAATTGCTGAATGAATTGAATGAATCTCAATGAATGAAGCTGAATGAATTGGCTCGTGAAACATGTCTTCACCCACTTCCAGTGAGGCATGAGCTCCTAGTGAGAGTTGTGCTTGTAAATCACTCCAACATTTCAGGAAATGCTGCCTTAGATGACTAAATATTAACCGACCAACCTCTGCCAGGATGAAACATCCAAGATAATAATGACAGCAATTGCACTGTCTTTAATTCGCTTTAAAAAGTAGTGGAAAGATTTTGCTGGGTGGTGGAATACACTCAGGTGTCTGCTGTGCAAGTGGCACTGTGACGTAGCCTGGGAATTCCATAATATTTTTGGTCTTCTGCCAGACTCAGCAGAAGAAATAGGAGGTCTCTTTCCTTCATACGTTCATCCTCAGCATAAATTGGAGGGACTGGTATCCATTTGCTCTTGTTTTCAAAAACTTTTTTTATGCAGAGCTACTGAAGGACGAGAATGACGTTTTGTTACTGTCTTCTCTTCACCCAGCTCTGCACTGAGAAAGGCTACATTCAGGCTCCAGATTAAATATTTCTTTCTGGTTTATAGGATGTTTTCTTTGAAGCCTCATTACTGCAAAAGCTTTAAGAAGAAAGAAAAAATAAGATTGATAGGGAAAAGGCATCAATTGTCTTATGCAAAAAAAAAAAAAGGGGGGGCCGGGGGGAGAAGCCATCCCTGAAACAGATCAAGGAGAAAACATTTTTTCAGCCAGTTGTCTTGCATGTTTTTGTCCATCCAATGACCAGTCTTCATGAGATAAAACCATTACAGCAGCAATTACACTGCTTAATCCATCACTGAGGGTTGTTCCGAGGGAAACTGTATATAAATATGTGTATATATATATAATTTAAACAATTATGAATACCTTCCTGTCTTGGAATATATAACAAATATCTGAAGTGCATTTCTCTCCCACTTGGATTAAAGATTCAGAGTGACAAATCTCACAGACTTCAGTGGGACTGCCCAGGCACAGCTGATGCTCAAAGGACTTGGGTCAAGACTGGTTGGCTAGGCAGGTCATTGCCATGGACAAAAACAAGCCTAGGGTGTCAGGATGGAACAGTGTCAGGAAATTCTTTCTTAATTTCAAAGGTATTTAAATTCAATCCTGTTTACTATTTCTTCTGGAAAATGTGTCTGTGAAAGAGTCTGCAGCTGAGAAAGAAATTACGTGGTCCTTGCTAAGAGGTTCATACTGTTTGAAGAAAGATGGTTGTGGTATTGAAACTTTCCCTGCTAACGTGCAGTGCAGGCAGATGTTAGGAACGTAAGTGTCACATAAATTAAAAGAGGACTTGAAACTGCAAAAAATATAACTTCCTAGCACCAGAACTTGTGGGAAACTGCCCTGGAGACATTCTGGTGCCTTGTGTCTTCCCTCTTCTTCATTTCTTTCTTTCTTTCTTTTTTTTTTTTTTTTTAGTAAGTAGAGACTTGAGCTTATTAAAAAGAGAAGAGCAGGCAGAATTTCATTTGTTAAAGAGTTGCTTAATGAAGCTACTTTTGCATCGTGCAAGACAGGGATGAAACAAGAGCAGAAGATAGGTCCATTCATCCTCAAACTGCAGTGATGTCACCTGCAGGAATAGTTAAAGCTGGTCTTGGTTTTACATATATCATTGTTGGGGTGACTTGAAAATATATGTTAAACTGCTCCAGTGACTAACCCCATGCTTCTCTGCTTTCGAGGTCAATCAGATGAATTATTTTGTTCTCTTGTCACCAAAAGAGTCTGTTTTCTCTGCTTTGCTGTAACAAGACAAATGAACTTACTTTTTTTCCAAGCAGTAAAACAAGCAGCCATTTTGCAAAGCCTTATGCTGTAGTCAGAAATTCTCTCTTCTTGGTTTTCTTTTTTCCCAAATTCTTCATTTGTTTCACTGCTAAAACTTCTGCCCTTCATGCCATACTGCATGTTGTTTTGTCTGCTCCTACTCTTTTAGCATTTGGAGCAGTGGAAACCTGAACCAGTTATCTTGCCAATGGGATAAGCGATAATGAAGCTGAAATGTCATCCCAATAACAAGTCATGAGGCAGCCTGCCACAGACTAAAGCCTCACCTGGGGAATAGTCCATTAAAGAAAAAACAAGAGAGACATGGACACAATTGGCGGCATCTCTGTTTGCTATCTGGGAGTCACGCCAAAAAGAAAAGACATTTAAACAGCTGGCAGAATAGAAATGTTTGGCAAACCAGTGTCAGAGCTGGTGATAACAGCATGAACTGCTGCAAGTCCTCTTTGGGGTAAGGAAGCAGACCATAAGGTATCAGATCTGTGGGGTGATCCTCTTGCTGCAGCAGAGGACCAGATCTGGATGCTCCCCACATCCCTCGGTTCTTTCTCTACTGTATGTAAATGATAACATGTGGAAAAGTCAGCAAGACAGGAGGACCAACAAAGACAGAATGAATTTAAACCAGAGGAGATTTATCACCATATGTAAACTTTTATTTTTGTGTAGTGTCTTTTATGAGGAAGAAATCCCTTTCAGGGCAATTTGGGAATTGCATGGAAAGTTAAGAGGGAATAATGACAAAGACTCAAACCAGATGCTAAGGTGGATACTGGCTGTAAACCCAAAGAAGAGCTGGTCATCAGGAGTAAAAACACAATTAAAATCTGCATCTGTTGTTTTTAACACTGGTTTAACAACAGCTGTTAAAGTTCCTGTGAACATAGGTCTGCAGGTAACTGAGAGTTGGTAGGGCTTGCTGAGGGACTGAAAGAGATTAATAAGAATTGATTCCCATAGGCAGATCCCACCACTCTGCCAAATTAATTAGGACCTAATTTCACGCAAGAGTAGGTAATTTGGCCCCTACTATTGAGTCTGTCACGGAAAGGCAACCGTGACAGAATTTTTTGTTCAAAGGAGGTGATGGTGAACTGAGAACACCAGTTGAGTTTTCAACCAGGTTTCTGAACAACTTTCAAAGAATCTCTGAGAACAGGCAGTGGGATGGGAGCCTAATTCCCAAATTCCATTTGCACACATGTACTTTGTGTTTGGGTCATCAGCAACAGTTTTGAGCTTTTGTCTCCATGCACACGTTTACTCTCATTTTTTTCTTCCTTGACAGTGCACACCACATCAGAAACTGTTGTTCGAGGAGTGATAGGACAACCTGTCACATTGCCTTGCTCCTACCGGGTGGCACGAGAGAAGGACATCTCTGATATGTGCTGGGGCAGAGGCCCGTGCCCAAACTCCAAGTGTAATAACAAACTTTTGCACACCACTGGGAGCAGGGTGACGTTCAGAACATCACAGCGGTACAACCTGCAGGGCTACGTTTCCTATGGAGATGTGTCTCTGACAATTCAGGAGCTGAAGGCAGAAGATGCGGGCACATACTGCTGCCGCGTGGAGATCCCGGGCTGGTTCAATGACATCAAGAAGAACATTCAGCTGGTGGTGCTCAGAGGTGAGTTTTGGGGTCTTCTCCGGACTTTTGAGCCATTCAAGATCCTGGTTCTTCTGTTTCTGTGAGTGTGTGAAGGAATAACTGCTTGCAGCCTAGAAAGAAATCAAACCCACAAATCTGGGCTTTGCTCTCCCTGAGGCTTGGTTTTGGCTAATTAGGCAGTAAATTTAAACAGTAACTCTCCTTACTTAAGTCACAGTATTAAAGTAGGTAGAAAATTTTTGGTAAATTATCATTTGGCTTTCCTCAAAGAATGCTCTGATTCAGCTTATCTCTTGGTTACAATCTTTCTATACAGCAACCTCTGTGAAGAAGAAGCCTAAGAAAAATGGTTCAAAATCCACAAAACATCCCAGAAAAACAACTTCTGCACCTCAAACAACCTCTGATCTTCAAGGATCAGTGCAGACTGCTGTCTTCCTGGCAACCACTGTCCCCCCAGCAGCTTCTGCAACCACTGAGTCTCCAAGAGTAACAACTGTTTTTTTCCCTCCAATATTTGATCAGACAGCAAGTGGCATTTCTCTAGAAAAAATGGGGTCAACCAGTGCTCTCACAGATTTTTCAGCCAGTTTTCAAGCAGTTGATGTGAGGACTGAAAGTGATGGCATCTCCTACTCGACAGAGTTAATCCTTCTTCCTGAAGGTACCAAAGTAACCAGCACCAATGCTTTACTTGTCTGTGTAACAGAGATAGTCTGTGTTAGCCCAAATCAGGCATCATAAAGATTCTCAGGAACAGATAATTAACTATAGCTTGAAAGGTTTATCTGAAACATTTGAGTGTGCATATAGGTAGTATGTTTTAGAATCATAGAATAATAAGAGTTGGAAGGGATCCTTAAGGACCATCTGGTCTGCATCCCCTGCACTGACCAGGGACACCCACAGCTCCATCAGTGCTCAGAGCCCCTCCAGCCTGAACTTGGCTGTCTGCAGGGATGGGGAACCACCACCTCTCTCACAGGGTAACCTGTGCCACTGCCTCACTGCCCTTATTAAAATGGACGTGCAAGTCAGATGTTGTGGCTGGTGCCAAACAGAGAGAATGACAAGGAGAATAGGTGACTGAGCCTGCTTTCAGAGGAATGTTAACAGGCTGAAATAAGCTGACAGAAAGGGTGGATGGTGCCCTATTTTCATTTGGTGGAGGTGCATTGTTAGCTATGTCCAGAAAGAACCTTGTCTGTTTTTGTTAGTTAATTTCTCACAAGTGTTTGCCAGACAGATTGGGTTAGCTGGGTGTTTGGTTCCTGCTGAGCAGGCTCTCATTTAGTTTCTCTTCTGTCTTTGCCTGATTTCCCCAGCGACAGCCCTGCCAGAGCCAACCACACTTCAGACACCAAAGTCAACCCTCGGTCCTTCAGGTACGGGAGGAGGCACCAATAGTTGCTCCACCAAGCGGGCTGTGGTTCACTGCCTGAAAGTCTAATTTTGACCTATGGGACATGTGTGCCAGAGTGAGATATGCACTTTGTGTACTTGTATATTTGGGGGTATTCCTGCTAAACTGCTCTTCCTTCCTTTTTATTTTTGGGAGGAGTAGTGGGGAGAGAAATTGAAAAAAATGAGGGAGGAATGGGTGTTGGGAAAAAAAGATGAGGGCAAAATGAAAAGACGTCTCTTGAGAGAGGACATGGGATGGGAGCTGAATTCCCAAATTCCATTTGCACAGTTTTTATCTGTGCTTAGGCCAGGCCATCCGCAACAGACCTCAGCTTCTGTCATCACACATTAGGACACACTTAGTCACATAACCCAAGTGTGTGGCCCTTAAAAGTCAATGCAGAATCTAAACAGCTCTATGGATGATATGCCCTGTGTGCAGCCCACAGCAGTTGGCTGGGGCTCCAGCATGGAGCCTTCCAGCAGCAGCAAGGAGCCAACATCCGTGAACTCCTGGCTGTTGCCCACCCTGCCCTGGGCCCTCAGCTGCCATAGGCTGCAAGGAAGTCCTTGGGTCACAGCATTGAGCTCTGCAGGCTGTGCTGCTTCCTTTCCTGCCATGTTGTGTTGCACAGGCAGAGACCTGAAGCTGAGGCTGTCAAAATTCCTCACTTTTCTTTCTTTCTTCTTCCTCAGCAATGAATACGGCATCAGAAACTGTTGTTCGAGGAGTGATAGGACAACCTGTCACATTGCCTTGCTCCTACTGGGTGGCACGAGAGAGGGACATCTCTGATATGTGCTGGGGCAGAGGCCCGTGCCCAAACTCCAAGTGTAATAACAAACTTTTGCACACCACTGGGAGTAGGGTGACGTTCAGAACATCACAGCGGTACAACCTGCAGGGCTACGTTTCCTATGGAGATGTGTCTCTGACAATTCAGGAGCTGAAGGCAGAAGATGCAGGCACATACTGCTGCCGCGTGGAGATCCCGGGCTGGTTCAATGACATCAAGAAGAACATTCAGCTGGTGGTGCTCAGAGGTGAGTTTTGGGGTTTTATACACCTGGGAGAAATCCAACACTGCAGGAGAGGTGAAAACCCAATTGTGTCTGTTTGGCTGCTTGGTTTTGATGGAAGGTGTTTTTATCGACGTAAGTAGTTTTCAGTGAAGGGCTGAAACCAGTTGCCCACTTGAATCAAAGTCATTGAGCACCTCTGATGAGAAAATCATTACTTGAATTATCTTTCCTTTCAAATGAAATGTTTAATTTTTCATTTCACAACTATATTTGTGGATTTAAATGAAGTTGGAATCATCAAAAGTACCTTTGGAATTGGAATTAAATCCAATTTTTCATTTGGCATTCATCTAATGCTAGAGATTGGTTTGATTTTACTAATTTTACTCATGTACAGAAAATTTGTCTTAGGTTTTCAAATGATTTTTCCCTTATTTGACCAAGCTGCATGTTAACGTAGGGATACTGCAAAGCCAAGAAGACACTGAAAAGCATTGCAAAGCACAGGGAAAAGATGGTAGCCGCCAGCCCTACTGCAGAAAGAGCAATTATTTTTCTGTCTTTGCAGGAGGTTCTGTGGTGCGACTGATGCTGATGTACACAGAGCTCTAGATATGCCAGTTTTAAGCAATGTATTGGGAGAGTGGGGCAAAAATGCTGCAATCCCATTGCTATCTCCTAGTCTGAAGGCAGCAGTTCCTAAAAAAAAAGGACTGGTTGAAAGAATTAATGAGAAACTTATGGCTGAAAATCAAACTTTTTTATCTTAAATGACTGAGGGACTCAGTGTCTTTACTTTTAGGGGGACATTGGGGAGAAATAATATTCTGCACATTTAGTAGATTTGCAATGCAAGGTTCCAGTCCTTCCATTCTGTGAGAGGGCCAGGGAGGGAACCTGCAAAAAAAAAACCCAACAACCTGGAACACTGGGAATTGCTCACCTGAGGCTTGTCTTCTGCTGATTAGACAACAATTTAAAAAAAAATTCTCTCACCTTCAATCACAATGTTTTAGTAAATGGATCATTTTAATTAATTTGGTTAATTGGCTTTCCTCAGGGTGAATGCTGAGATCCACCTTTTCTTTTGGTTAATTTTTCCACACAGCACCTCCAGTGATGACAACAACCATGGGAAAAGCTCCCACTTCCCCCAGCCATTTCGGAACAACAACTTTTGCTCCCCAAGAAACTCATGATCTTCAAGCAACCACATGGGCTGCTGTTCCCTCCACAGCACCTACAACCACCTGGTCTCCCCCAGCTTTTGATGAGACAACAAGCGATAACTTTCTGGAAAAAGTGGTGACTACCAGTGCCCTCCCACGTTTTTCAACCAATTTCCAAACAAGTGATGCGTGGACTGAAGGTGAAAGTGTGTTCTGTTCAACACAGCCTCTCTCCCCTCCCGAAGGTACAAAAATAACCAATGAAAATGCTTTCTTTTGTCCGTGTAACAGATATTTTTTATGTTAAGCTGACTCAGGCATCATAGCAACTTTCCAAAGACAAATGATTAATTGTAGCTTGAAAGGTTTCTCTGAGATGTTTATGGGTATGCCTGTAGATACTACGTTCAAGGAAATGAAGGTCACATGTTGTGACTGATGCCAAACCATGGAGAACGGTCGAGAAAACAGGGAATTGCTTTTTCTTTTAGAGCAGTTTTAGCAGGCTGGAGAAATTAGGTGATATAAACCCCATCGAGTACAACAGAAATAAATGCAAAATTTACACCAGGGTTGGGAGACTCACTCATGCCTGCACTACTGTATTTCTTGATTTGGGAAAGACAGTTGAAATGCTCCACTGAAAAGGTCTCTTACTCAGATTAGCTGCAGATATGAGAATGGCGATTCAGTTTCGCCTCTTAGCAGATGCAGAATTGCATGAGCAATTCTAGACACCACATGAATAACCCCCAAAGCAGTGATCTTTATGAGCAGTGACTTTTATTTTGTTTCAGTGACTACTGAATTCCCAAGTATACTTTCGACTGCAGACAGAACTGAAGAGGCCAACACTTTTCTCTTGACAGATGATGTGCCAACTGTAGGTGAGCGCAATAAAACTGGAAGGTCAGATGTTGCATGTTGAGAGAAATGATGAAGTTGCCAAAAACATAAGTATTGACTATTCTTAAGAGTGTACCAAACATTTACTGTTAGCTACTTGTTGCGTGTGTCAGTCAGAAGGGTTTGGGGTCCACAGAGTAGTTGTCTGAAATCAGGATGAAACAACGGATGGAAACAGCATGTTTTCAAGGCCTCCAAAGGAAGCAGGTTTTGAGTCACTTGCCGCTGTTGGGTATCTTGGGTCTGAAGTAAAAACTTCTCTTTGTCACCACCCAAGCTGAATTGTCAGATATCTAATCTGTCATTATTGTGAAACCACTGAGCTTTCTGTTTCAAACACTCCCTGAATGTCATCATTGAACAGATTTGGCCAGATGTGGCTGCAGGTTCAGCTCTCCAGTGCCCATTGTGTGTTCCTGGTGATGATGGAAAGCAGCAGGCAATTACCACAACCATCAGTCAGTCCTTCAAGAGAAAAGGAAATGGGGTACAAAATCATGACAGACCTGAGAAATGAACAAACTCTCATGAAGTTTGCACTTCGTGGCTCCCAGTCAAGTACAAATGAAGACCAGACCAGGTTCAGGTGTCAAAACCTGTCCATCAGACACCTGGAAATGATGACTTTAAAAATGGAAAACTAAAATTCAAGGATGGTGTCATATCTGGCTGTTAGGAGAGGCCACTGCTTACTTGGGAACACAGTATTTAGGTTTTTGCAGATTTCCTTTTGATAGGTCTAGAGACTTGCAGCATAAACAGTTTAGGAAACCATTCCTGAATGCCCGTGGAGGCTCATGAAAAAGGCTTAACTGATCTCTTGAGCGTATGTGAGCATTTCTCAGCACTATTCTGCTTCTCATCTTTTTTATATAATTCTGGATAATGCCCGTGTTCTGTTGTTGTAAATAGGGAGTCTTGGAAAGAGGCTTACCCCTGGGATTCAGGAGGAAACCGTGGGCTAGAAAGAGCCGTCACTAAATGAGTAACAGCAGGCAGTGTACCATGCTATGTGAATCATGCAAGCTCCCACCCCTGCAAAAACTTGTCATGCTACTTCCAACAACAAAACTGCCATGTGTCTGAAAATGCTGCAGCATAGTTAAACACGGTATCTTAATTAAAAAAACAACTACAAAAACCAACAAAAACATGTTCTTGCATGAGTATCATTTTACTGTAATGTTTCAGAGGTATTGAGAATCTACTTGAGAATTGAAAACAAAGTGAATGGTGCCCAGTTTGTGTTTGGTGAAGCTGTGCTATAAGCAAAGTCCAGACAGAACCTCGTCTGTTTTTGTTAGTTAATTTCTCACAAGTGTTTGCCAGACAGATTGGGTTAGCTGGGTGTTTGGTTCCTGCTGAGCAGGCTCTAATTTAGTTTCTCTTCTGTCTTTGCCTGATTTCCCCAGCGACAGCCCTGCCAGAGCCAACCACATTTCAGACACCAAAGTCAACCCTCGGTCCTTCAGGTATGGGGAGGAGGCACCAATAGTTGCTCCACCAAGCGGGCTGTGGTTCACTGCCTGAAAGTCTAATTTTGACCTATGGGACATGTGTGCCAGAGTGAGATATGCAGTTTTTGTTACTCACCAGAATCTACTTTCTACTCTAATGCAAATTTCTGTTGCTAAAATTGCATGCATGTGAGCTACCTGTGTCCTGTCCATGTCTTTGATAACGTTCAAGCACATGCTTTGGTAGATGGAAACAAAACAGCTCAGCTGTCAAAGGTAAACTGATCTGAACTGAGATATCTGGGGGAGTTTCACCAAGAGAGTTATCTGATGGAGGAAAAGAAAAAAAAAAAAAACATGCAAATTTGTTCTAGTGGGTTTACTTGTGACTGCCTGCTGCCTGATCAGCCCTGCTGCCAGGTGACATTCGGCAAGCCTCATGCATGCAATCTTTCCTTCAGCTGTGGTTTGGGACACCATAAGTGTGTTACATGTACATGCCCTGTCAAGTGACTCATTTGGTCCCCAGTGCATTTTGCCAATACAGAGGCTCCATGGGTGTTCCCTTGTCAGACCCTTGGAAGCACTCCTCATCAGAATCTTTCTATACGTGAGGGTATGAGCCAAAGCACAGAACCTCTCCTGTCCTGAGATGAGCTGCTACTTCAGTCTGCTTAGCTCAGTCACTCTTTTGTCTTTGGGATGCTGCTCAGCATTGGTGCCTCCTGTGAGGGATCAAGAGCTTCAAATTCTTAAATACTTCAGTATTTCATAGCATGAGATCATGATGAGCACAGGCCATGTCCAGGTTAATTTTTCAGTGGCTTTAAATTCGCCAACCAAAATCAAGATAGTAGGATCAGAGGACAGCATCCTATAAGTTTGCTGCAAGATTTCTTGAGCATTCATTAAGTTCATTCCTATAGGCCCAAAAGAAAGCCCAAAGAAAACCAGAACAACTGAATTATTTTTAATAAGCTAAGATTAAATAAAAAGAGAAAGAAAGAAAGAAAGAAAACACACCAAAGCATCATCTTGATAGAGCTACCTTAGATCTGTGATAAGTTATCTTAATGTAAAGGTATTTCCTGTGGTTTCCAGCTAAAGCAACCACACATAGCTCTGACCACAAATAAACAGAGGCAGCTCCTCCAGTTAAACTTGTGCCTTGCTAACTACCTGTGCTCTCTGCTACATTTTGTCATGCTGATGGAAGTAAAAATTCTCTTGCGAGAGACAAATTTCTTCTATCTTGCTTCATGGGCTGCACCATGGAAGCCTCTTATTTCCTTGATGAAGGCTGACGCTTCCTGATGGTTGCCTGTATACAGTTTGTGGCTGAAAGAGATTGTAAACTGCTGGTTGTGAGGCACTACATTTCTCCTACTCGGGGCCAGACTTTGCACAGTAGCCCTCCCACCCTCAGATGACTGGGTGCCAGGAATAATTTACTTCTCTTCTGTTTTCAGGGACTACACTGAGTTCAGCCAGCAATACAGAGAAAACTGGGATGAAACTTTCTGTAAGTTTTACAAGTGTTTGACTAACGAGAAGCCAGGCCAGCAGGATGAACTGGTGATTTTTCAATGCACTGATGCCAAATGTACAATCTTTGCAAAACAGTAGCCTGGACTTTTGTGCAGAAGCTCAGGACCCACCTATTCACCTTCTGCTGATCCTGTGGGTTGTGTTAAAACCTGCAGCAATCCCATCTGGTTCGGGCACTTCCAAAAATTCCTCATTCCTCCAACACCTCTGCATGAGGTGCTGTCCTCTGGGTGTGAGCAGGCAAGAGGCCCCTTGGGGAGGTTGTTGCATTTCCCTGTCTCTAATTAAGAGAAAGATGAGGGTGACTAAGCTCCTATAGACTTATTGAGGAGTTCATGTTTAGTGGGATGGATTTAGGCTCAAACGCTTCAGAGAAAGGTTTATTAAATATTTAACAGGCAATTCATGCTGTTTATCGTGATCATCCTGACGTGTCTTCTTCTGGCAAGCTGAGCAGAGTGTTGCAAACTCAGCCTCATGCAGATATTTCAGAGCTTTTAGCCTGGAGCTCACTTCTGCATGGATAGCTCTGACGCAGAAATGCTTTCAAAGACTTTTCAATTTTTCTCTTCTCTTTTCCAGTTTCCCATCTCCACCATTCTCACCGTATCTCTCATAGGGATATCCATTATTTTAATGTTGATACTCTTATCGTTGCTTTGGAAGCGTAAGTACCACTTAAGCACTTATTTTTTTTTTAATGTTTCCAATGGTGGTCTAATGCAGATATCCTTCTGTATCTCTGATGAATCCTCTGGTAGATCTGCCATGGACTGTATAACAGCACTCAGTTCATTTTATGGAGCTGTTGTCCATAGTCCAGCACTGTGTCACCATGGGGATGAGGTAGGGATGCAGCAGGAGGAAACCTGAGCAAAGAATCCATCAACTTGTCAGGTTCTGATTCTCACTGAGGGCTCTTGTTCTTAGTAATGTGGTCCTATAGTTCCCTGGGATTGCTCCTGGTGAACTCTGATGTAGCTTAGAATGAGATCCTTTCTTTCCTGCTTAGCTCACAGAAATGTTGCAGCTTGCTGTCTTTGCTTCTGAACTCATTTGACTGATTTGATAGAATTGTAGATTTCTTTTTTGTCATTGTGACAATATTATTTTGCTTCTAGGAAGACACACAAGGAAATTTATTATGAAAAGGTAATCAATTTTATAATTTTCTATTAAAAGTTCTAACATATTTTTCTTAGAAACAGAAGTTATTTGCCACTAATTGTAACAGGTACAGTACTGGTTTGTGAAGCTGATAATGTAAGTTATCAGACAACTTCACCCCTGAAAATCAAACAGTGGTTCCTGGAAACTTCTCATATATAGTACTGTACAGATACCCAGAGCACTGGGGAAGGTTAGCAGCCAACACTGGGACACAATGACCCCACCTTAAGAAAATTCCTTGCCTGCATTATTCTTTGACCAAATGGAATCATAGAATGGTATAGGGAGGAGCCTTAACGATCATCCCTGCCGCAGACAGGGTAAATCGTAGTGCATGAGCCTGGTGAGGCTGGTTTAAAGCAAGGAAGATGTGAGCAGTGAGAGAAAAAGACAGTTTTTTTCTCATTTGCTCATCTTGGCTCAGAAAGGGATCAGAGATTTACAAACAGTCTCCATGAAGTAGCAATCCATTCCTATAGACAAAAAAAAAAAATGGGGCCCAGGAGGGGCACAGTGGGGCAGCATGGCAAACCAAACCTTCCACCAGCGGGTAAATCTTGCAGCCCTCATGGGGTCACTGCACCCCGTCACATCCTCCTTGTGTCACACACAAGTATAGCAGGTGACCACCGAGGTGATCATTTTGAAACAGATGTGGAATAGTTAAGTATGATGAATCACCCAGTGCAGGTGTTCCTAATAAGCTCATGTTTTCTGGCTTGTCTTGAACACAGGACTTTCTCTAACCAAAGACAGGGTTGTCCATTGGAGCATCACCCTTTGCCAGTACCAATACTTTTAAAATAGTAGATGGTCTCTCACTGCATTCTATGCCTAAGAGATGAGGGCTGGGGGCCAAGGAAGGCCTCCTTTCTGAACCCCATAGTGTTTATCTGCCAGCTGTCACTATAAGATCTGAGCAGGCCTTTCCTAATTGTTAGAATGATGCATGCAAGGTAAGTAAGGTAGTGTAAATAAGTAGACCTGTTGCCATTGAAATCAATGGACTCAGTAACTTCTGGTCTCTGTTTCAAGGGGAATGTGCCAGTGTTGCAAATAAGAAAGGGTGCTCTGAAGCTTCAAAGTGTTTTTGCCCTGTACATACTGATCTGTGCTTATCACTACAGCCTTAGACCAGCTGAAGACCTTGAAAAAGTTTTCAGTGGCTCTGAAGGAGAAAACAATCTTTTTGTTCTGTGAAGAGCTCCTGCATCTTCAGTGGATGGCCTGGAATAAAGCACAGCTGCACTGCAAATAGAAAGGACCTGTTTCAAGCTGCATCGAGAGACATTTGTGAGCCCTTAAAATATCAGTGGGTGTAAACCAAAGGCCAAAGCTTCAACTATGAAAATTTAAAATCTTTGTGCAAATTTTGCCATCTCACCTTTAAAGCGCACTGTATAAAGAAGCTTCTTTTAGAGTATGCATTATTCAGTAGCATTTCTGGGATCTGTGTTCTTGTTAATACCAAATTAAATGTTTTTCTCTGAGTTTTCCTAATGCTTTTCCTTAAATACAACTCAGACTGTGAGGAACAGAAGAAATATCAGTGAATGCTGCTTAACTTTGAAGTGCAAAGAAATATATAAACCAGCAAATACAAAGTTTCTTATTGCTTTTATATAATCAAGAGAAAAATTAAGCCACAGGAATGCCTTAAGAATAAATAAAGATGTAGATCACTTCAGGGGTTACAGTGCTGCCCTTGATTCAGCATGTTCGAGTGACCCTTGGAGACTACACTAATAAACTTTGCAATTTACCACTAGAAATTGCATTTTCTATGCCACATCCTAGAGCATTTAAGCAGGAGTTAGTTATTCCCCAGGTGCTGAAATGACTGCTGTGCTATCTCAGCTCTCCAAAGAAGTGCTGCAGCATTTCCAGAGATGGAAAATGACCCAGAAGTCCGGCTCCATAACATCCCCCCACCACTCATTAGTAAATCCCTGCCTCCTCCAGCAGTGTGCATGGGGGATCTCCACTCATTTGTATACATTTGCCTTTTGTCCTCATCATGACAAGCTGCAAAATGGTGTTACAGCTGGGTTGAGATGTAGGCTCTAAAATACAGCTTGTGTTGATGGTCTTGCCTGGCAGGGTCAGTGCAGTGGGGCTATGGGGGCTTGCTTGGAGGAGGGGTCATCTGTGGGATACATCATTCATCTGTGTCACTGAAGTCCTCAGCAGCTCTGTGGGATCAGCACGCAAAACAGTTCAAACCCATTACCTCCATTGCCTGCAGTTCTCAATCCCTGCTACAGCAACTCCAGAAAAGGACCCCTTGAGCTGAGAGCATGTGATGGAAGCATCATTTGAGCAAAATGTGGCAGGCCTGGACTTCCCCTCCAGTCACGCTTGAGGCTGCGGTGAGAATTTTATCTCCACAGCATATCTTCCCAGCTCACATGTGGCTGTATGAGTTCTGTGGAGGTTCCTCTGTGGGCTCCTGCTCAGTCTTGCCTGGGTTCAAGACCCTGCTGAGTATACTGGCCCTGTGTTGCTGGACCATGCAGTTTTGATGCTTTCCTTTAAAAGAACGCAACCAAAACAGCTCGCTTTATTTTTTTCTTCCAATTAGCAGGACTGGGCCAATCCATTTGCAGGTATTAATTAGCTCTGCGCTAAAGACTTCTCCAGAGCAGGGTTGGCTCTTGCTGGGGATGGTTTCAGTATGTTGGCTGCTGGTCTGGAAGATTTGGGGAGATGCGGAAGGGCAGAAGAAATATGAGCCAACAAAGTGAGTTTGATCCTCCAAACATAAAGCACTGAAGCCAAGAAAACTCTTTTGTGAGCATCCTGAAACAAGATCTGGAGTATAAGTTGTAAGGCCCTTCAGTGACTGGTGCTTGGGGCTGGGAAAACTTGGAGAAAAGCAGCCTTGCAGCTGCTGCAGGGCTTGTGCTGTTGTTTTGTAGGGTACTTGTGGTGCTTGCTGTGCTTGCCAATGCCAGCCTCCCTCCTTCATCAAAATGCTGAATTAAACTGTGAGAAGTGGATCTGATGTGAAGAGATCATGACTGAACTACTCAATTAGTGTGGAGCAGGTATGGAAAAGCAGTTAAAAAGGGGTGGTCTGAATATTTTGGGACATGAGATTGACTAGTGGAAAAAAAAAAAATAACAACTGGAAGAAACACTGAGAAACAGAGGCAGACACTGAGTTACAAGTACAAATCCTCTAAAGAGAATCCCAAGGAAAGAATTAAGTACTGTTCTGAGATTAATGAGACCTCTCTTAATAGACTTTACTGGAGCTGACTGCTCTGATGGTCCCTCTCCATCTCAGCAGAATATTCCATTATGTCTCAGAGTTCGTTTCTCAGTAAGGCTGATGTGCTTTTCTAGGCATTTTTTAAGGTTAATATAAATAAATCTCTGAGTTCCAAAGGTGGAATCTAATTGGAGCTTAAGAAGGAGCAAGCAGAAGAGAAGAATGCAGTTGAGTACATAGGAAATTAGAAATAAGAATAAATAGCATCATGGGACTTGGGGAAAGAACAGAGATAACTGTGCCATGTGAGATGAATGCACGAAAAAGTGGAAAATTTTAGTCTGATAGAGAGGATTTGGGACGTGCTGCTGGAAACATGACAGCAGATGGCAAAGTTGAGCTGCAGAGAAACAGCTGAAGTGATGCAAAGGGGCTGTGGAGGTGATGTACTGAGATTAAGGGGGTGAGGGGGCTCCTGCAGGGAATACTTTGGTGGAAAGGATCATTTCCTGCCCTTTGGCAACGTCAGCTTAAGAGTTCTCACTGGTTTGAAGCTGAGGGTGCAGGAGAGATGCAACCTGGAGCGGGCAAAAAGCACTGGAAAGACTGGGGAGGAAGATATTGGGAAAGATTCCTTAGCAGTCTGTTGGGATAGGACAGAGGGAAGTAGTTTCAAATCGTTGAAACAAGGGGAGATTTAGATTGGTTATAAGGAAAAGTTTTTGACAGTAAAGGCAGTGAGGCAAAATGGCACAGGTTGCCAGAGAGATGGTGCCTCATTCCTGCAGACAGCCGAGGTCAGGCTGGAGGGGCTTTGAGCACCTGGTGGAGCTGTGGGTGTCCCTGTTCAGGGCAGGGGGGTTGGAGCAGATGGCCTTTAAGTGTCCTTTCTACCTCAAGTGATTCTGGTATCCGCTTTAGTGTTTGAGATGCTGATCCTTCTCTAAGGGGAAGGAAAATCCCCTCCTTACCCAAAGGGAAGCGTTATTTTCTTCTTTCTTAGAAGAAGCTGCATGTTCTGCTGCAATTTCAAAAAAATGCTCACAACTTTTTTTGAATCAAGAAAAGGTGTTTTATTTATTTTGTATTTCTACTCTTTAAACATGTAGGAAAAAGGGAGAAAGATGAATTATCCAAAGCAGGTGTGTAGGAACTGTTGAGTCATGGCCTGAACCACTGATTGAGCAGCTGGGGAAAGGACCCAGTCAGCCCTGGGAGCACAGGTGAAGGCAGTTTAGTGCCACCAGAAGGGGTGGAGCCTGGCTGCACCTCTCTTAGACCTTCTTTAAGGGCTGACTGCCACTGGGGAAAGATCTCTTTCTGGAGATCCTTCCTTAGTGAAGCTTTCCTCTGTGAACCTGGAATCTTCTGATGTAGGTGAGCAATCTTCTTCCCTTCCTTTTGTAGCACCTTTCTATTGTGCCAGTCCTTCCATCATCACATCTTTGTTGTAATGCCTTTCCTATCGTATTGATCTAATTGCTACAGCAGGGAACAATCTGTAATTATGTAATCTAAAACAAAAAGTTTGGAAGCCTGGCTCTTCTTCAGTCCTCAAGTCTTGAATACTCAGACTTGCATATTATGAAGATTCATGGCTTCAAATTTACTCAACCACTGGAGCTAGTGTCATTCTTAACTAAGTCACCCAGTAGTTATACACACCACGAAATCATCTGCATGTTTAATGGAGAGCAGAGAATTTCTATGGAGAAATCTATAGCTTTTAATCCAGTGATGAATCATTTATGCGATTTTGGATTATTCGCTTTGTGCTGAATTGAGTTGTTTCTTTCACAAAGCAAGACCACCCCCCCAACATGCTCTGCGTCACAGGCTGAGCCTCGTGGTGATGCATGTTGCTGGGATGAATTATTTATTGGATGTTTTAAATCACTTGCTCAGTGGTGAACTAAGCCAGTTAATCTTAAATCTGTTCATATCCATCCTTAAGTACACAAAGTGATTTTATGTATGTGATATTCATCTCTCTTTCTTCTTTCCTTTCTCTCCTGTACAATAGTGAATTATCTGTGAGGTTTGGGTTGAACTAGTTTTAGATGTGATAAAACTTTCCCTCAAGGGAGGCAGCGACCTGTCCTGGGGATTTGCCCCAGCTGTTCTGGGCCTGGTGTGCAGCAGGTGTTTATACAAGCCCCTCAACTCTCAGCTGCATCCTATTTCAAAAACAAAGGGAAAGGATCACTATTTCTTAGCTTGTAGTGCATGGGACATAATTCTCTCAATCCTCAAGAAGTTCAGCAATGAACTTCTCAATGGATCTTATTACTGGGAGTAGGGAAATTCCCATAGATTTCTGTGATCAAACACTGATTTTATTTTTTCTCTTGACCTGTAAGCCTCAGCTGATAATGGGGATGGTTTTTTCCTAGGGCTTTCCTGTGAGCTCTGCTTCAAGGACAAGGGGAAATCAGCCTCTCTGTTGAGTGGTGAGTTGATGCTGCTTTTGAATTTTACTTGGTGTTTTATGTCCTTGGTCTATTATCTAATGAAGATTATGATGAGGTAATTATGGAAATACACAAATTGCAACCTCATGAATACCAAAGAAATTCATGATGATCCATGCTAAAAGAATGCATAAAAATGCAAATCATTTGTAAATAGGTAGTAGTAAATCTTGTTAATATTAATAATGTAGAGCTTTTAATTGCATCAGCCCTCTGAGGAGAGTTTTTAAGATTTTATCCTGTGAACTGTGTACCATGAGGTCAAAGGGAGCTCTTACATGGCTCTGTTTGGTTGTAGTTATCCTTGGCTACTTCCATAGTTGAGAGAGGGGGAAGGGCACTGGTCCAGAACATGATGCAGTCCACCCAAGAGGAAGCAAAGCCTGCCCTGTGGTGGGAGAGCTCCAGAACTCAGTAGTTAATTGTGTGCAACAACCTGGAATCATGCCATAGGGACTTACAGTGTAGCGTGGCTTTGACTGTAAAGTTAGGTTAAATAGCATTGCTGGATGGATGTGTCCCAGGACTAATTCTGGACTCCAAATATCACTGATGTGAGCATCTCTACGGGCTCTGTGGCATCTGTATCACAGCACAGAATCTGGTAGAGCTAAGGAGCATGATCTCCATGCCTGTGTCTGAGATTCAGCTGTGGCACCAGCAAAGCACTCAGGAAGGATGAATGCAAAGGCCACAGCTGAGTGAGCTGGAGATGTGGGTAGGGGATGACTCAGTGCCTCTGCTTTCCCCTGGAGCACTTCTGCCGTGGTTGCTTCCTTCAGAAGGGCTTTGTGAGGAACAAACCCCCTCCAGTGCTGAGGAGAGAAGTAGCTGGATTGCTAAGCTTGATGAGAGGTGCCCAAATGAATGTATGTGTTCTGAAGCCTAGGGAGGTCTTGTGACAGCAAAACATTGACAGACTTTACAGTGGCTGAGTGTTTGGTAGAGTTCATGTTCGATTTCAGCAGCTCATTTTTCTATCTTCTCTAGTTCATTCAATTCCTGTCGTTAGCTGAGTTATTCTGTGAAATAAATTAATTTTATAATACAAAGATACTAGATGGTGCATTCAGACATGGTGCC